TTTTTTTTTGAACATACAAAGGATTCTAGAAGCATCTATATGTTCGTTTTTTAAATAAGATAAGAAAATCGACAAAGATATAATCCAAAATTTACATCGTTGATGAAAATATATTTAGATTTAGCGTATTTCTTCATTTATTGCAATTTTTTTCTTAGATCAATTCATATGATCATATTTTTCTATAAAATTTTTACCTTTTTTTAATGAGATTTTTCTAAATAAGTTTTTCATTTAAGTGCTATTTTTACTTATTTAAGTTCTTGCCCAGTTTTTCCTTTGATTGTTTGCTACACAAGATCTTCATGGCACCTTCTACACAGACACATTCTTATTGCGTTGTGCAATGGGAGGATAACAATAATGAATATGCTGTTGTTCATATGAAACGTGCAAAGACATCAATCATGTTGAAAGTTGGTTTAACAACATCATTTGAAGGAAACAATCGAGATCGTCGGCGTGGTAAAATATTGTATATGGGTTAGTTGTTATTTTTTTTTAATTTGTGGCTAATTAAGGTTATGTTAGTATGCTCAAAGTTTAGCATCTGACTTGATCTACCTATTGTTACTCCATCAAATAAAAAAATAAAAATAATTTCCATTTGTTTAGGTGCAAAAAACGATTGTACTGTATTTAGTTTCCAATTTGAAGATCAAGGTGGACATGTTAATACTTATTCCTGGAGTTTAGCACCTGGACTTTTCGAAAAAATTGAAGAAACAACAAAAGCTATTAAAAATATTGCTGGTGGAAACTTACATCGAACTATATCTTCATCGTCAACAAGTTCAACAACCATGTCAAAGAATAAAAAACGAAAAGTAAATCATAATGAACAACATACAACTGATAATCCAGGTGTAATTGACGTCAATATGATGCCAGTATCACCACCTGCACCAGGTTCAACTCGTTCTACTATTACTATTGGTGATATTGATCAATCATTAGGTTCAAGTGATCAACGTCCATCTAATTCATCTAATGCAAATAAAACTTCAACTACAAATACTGAAACAATAGTATCGTATGATATTGATAGTCTTGTTCAAGAAAATAAAGCATTACGTAATAAAGTTAATGAGCTTGAAGAACAATTATTAGTTCAACGTGAAACATCAATTCGTGAGTAAAAAATATTGTTTAATATTTATTTCTTCATAGATTCATGAGCAATAAATAAAGCTTTGTCAGATAATTATTCTTCAGTTATGAAGGTGTTTCATTATATTTGTACACTTAATAGTATCATTAATTGGATCTAAATTGAGAATATATATTGCTTGAATTTGCAGCTACAATATATAAACTTAACATGTTTGTTTTAGCTATTCCTGATGAAAATGGTTATAATTATTTGAGAAGTGTTTGTTTAACTTATGAACAATGTCGTAGTGAACAACATACGAAAATGGTTGAAGTATGATATAATATTTCATTGAATATGAAATTATTTTATACAGTGTTTCTTTTTTCTTTTAGTTAAGAAAAAAGTTACCATGTAGTGATGTCGAAATAAGATTAGCCAAGAAACCAAATCCTGCCGCTACAATCAACAATTTAATCAAATTTTGCTTCAAAGATGTTGATTTAACAGAAATGTCGTATGAAAAATTAAAATTCAAGAATCCATCATTATTATTGGATATACATGGTACGTTTCATTTCTTTGATTAATAAAAAAAAAAGTTTCTGCTCTATTCTAATGTGCATGTCATTCTTGCACATTTTTTAGATTTTGTTAAATGTATACATGCACCTACACCTATACCTCAATCAATGTTCTCAGGTACAATATCATTAAGATGTCGTCATCTTCGTGACAGTAAGAAAAATGAATCTGTTTCAAAACCGACAAAACGTAAACGAAATCAGTCAGATAATATTCGTGAAGAAAGAACAAAACAAAATTACAAAACGGTTCATGACACAGAACTTGAACAACCAGAAGATGATAAAGAAAATGATGAACATTTTTGATGCAAATACGTAGATTGAATTTGTTTATTTAGAAATACTAGAACGCATTATATATTAGATTTTTATGTTTTAACAGTAGAACTTATTTTATATTTTCTGTTTGCGTAGAGATTATAGAACTTACTTGATTTTTTTTACGTATAAAAGACTTATGAACATGTATGATTTAATAAAGCATTAATATCGTAACTTGATTTATATTCAAATTGTAAATTACCATTCGATAACAGCGTTCATCATTGAAAAATGATTAATTTAAAAATCAAGATCGTCAGAAATCTAACAATCTAACATCTTTTGCTCATCACGGTGAGTACTACTATTCAAGAATAACAAGTAATTAATAAGCGTATATATGCATATATATATAGATGTTGGTCGAAAATTTTTCTGAACGAATAGTATCGTTAATTTTTCGGATTAACTAGTTTTACTCATCATGCTAGATTTTTCAGATGTCTTCTCGTGCTACCCGTTATCGTCGAAAATATATTCTTTCAAGTAAACATTTTATTAAAAAGAAACTTTACTTATCAAATACTTCAGACAAAAGTGAGTTGTTGATCATATTACAAAGATGCACATAATTATATACTTTTTTTTTCCAGAAACTTTAGATCTTTCTAGAAATGCTGACGAAGTCATGTTGAGAAAAAATGGTAAGAACAAAACTATTTCTTACCTATACATCTTCTTTTAACTATTAAATTTGAAGTTTATATCTTCATCATGCACTTTTTAATCAACCAGCGATAAATTAATGATAACTCTTTTTGCATTAATTTGTTCGCATTTTTTCCTAGAATCATCAATGAAAAATGACAAACCAACAATAATATCTGATACAACTCCAGTTGATACAAATATCATTGATAATAATTGTGAGTTTTGTGTCGTGTTTAATAAAGCAACAAAAATTTTGCATCAGTCTTTATGATACTTGTTTTTGACTTAAACTAAAAGATTCTACTGTTTTAACAAATACAGAGCTTTTCTATTGATTGTTTACAGGTATTCATTTCTTTTAGTAATTAATCGTCGCACTTGCCCAACATCGTGCGATATAGCCGCTTCCGCAATGATCTTCAAAGTTAGGCGTTCACAAAATAATAAAGATATTAACCTTATTTGTAAATTATTGAATGCATTAAATGTTAAGAATGTACCAACAAGCATGAAATCTATTGAAAAAAAGCTACATCCTAAATTTAATTTAAACGAATATTGTAAATGTTACTACATTTGTTCCAAATGTGGTTCATCAAATACTAATTATTCTAAAAAGTGTCAATGTGATGATTCAAATCTAGTGGAGTTTTACCTCTATCCTGTCAAAAAACAAATACAACAATTATTATTAATTCCAGGAATGTATCAAAAATTAAACAGAGAAAAAAATAAAAACATTCGTTTATTTTCTAATACAACATACGGGCAAATACTCAAAGAGATTTTGAATGATTCTTTCACGATGATTATCAACTGTGATGGGGTGTGTACTCCAAACAAAAATCTTTCTTTATGGCCCTTTGTTTTTATGTTCACTGAGATTCCGATACCTGAACGTCGTTATTTAGAAAATGTTCTGATAGGCGGTGTCATACCAGCTACCAATAAACCAACAAATGTTATTTTTAGAACGTGTTCAAAATTAATTTGTGATGATCTACTGCAATTAGAATCAGGACAGTTGTTTTATGTGAACGATCTCGATCAACAAATAATTATGCACTTTTACACCATAGCTAGTTGCACCGATAAGCCTGCTGAGGCACTAATGCAAAACATAGTCCTGTTTAATGCTGAATATGGGTGTTCGAAGTGCTTTTGTAAAGGTACGCTAGCTAGATGATCATATCGACTTATTTCGCATTCAAGCAAATTGAGGTAGAGTTATCCATCTCTGAATGCAAAGTCTATTTTGTCTCCGATACTACGAAGATTCACTAATTCGCGAAACCTGTGTTTAGCCCTTTGAGTACGGGCGACGAGAATTCTCGTCCTGATATTTCAGGACTTAAATAGTTTTACAAGATACGGTTTGTTGATTATTTAATCATACGAGTTGCATGGAAATTTTTGTTTAGAGTATTTGTGCGTTAAGATTATCTATACTGATGCGATGATTATTGATTGTCCCTTTTTTCTTTGAATCCGAGATTATTTTTATATAGTAAATTAGACAAGAGAAACTGCTGTTAGATAAATCGGTCCTATAAAAGTTTTCCATTCATACCCCAGCTATATTATGCCAAATGAAAAAGTTTGATAAGTTGAGCACTTTTTGTGATGGAATCTGATCTTTTAAATGGAACCATGAAGAGCT